CTACCTAGGTAAGCTGCCTGAATAGGAGATTACAAATCCGGTTGAAAGCATCCTACCAACCTCGGTTCTAAGTAGTAGTGTGGCTCGTTCACATTACCTAGTGTTGGACCGCTTCCTTCTTGTCGGGCAATGCAGGTCATGCGGGTACTTCCAGAGTTCCAGGCCCTTCAAGCTTCGCACATCTCTCCACTCATCTCCTAGACACCTCCCGTATGCTCCGGGCTTAAGTAGGTATTAATGCGTTGTTTACCTCGAGGAAATGCTCTGCTCATGGTTTCTTCTCATGGTTACTGCTCACGGTTTCTTACCTCCTAACGACTTCTAGGTGTGTTCACTGACTCCTTCAGCATGCCTATCTTCAAGAGCTCACAACCCGATGTCTCGTGTAAGTCGACTATCAACACATTAGGCTTCACGCACATAGACATCACCATGCTAAACTTATATCAGGGCCCAGGGATGTCACAATATGGGAATGCCTGTTTGAGAAGGGCTCGGAGCATTCTCCCTTGAATAAGTACCCAGAGCAGCAACTTGCCGGCTACATGGATGCTGTGACAAAGGAGAGAGTGTCATGGAAACAAGTCAAGGAGGCCGCAACTTACATCTCAACCGCATTGGTCAGGGAGCATGGTTTGAAGGCGGGAGACACGGTGTCGTTATTCAGTCGGAATACGATATGGTATCCCGTGATGCTGTTCGCGTCTATGCGCGTTGGTATGCACACTTTTCTGAGATCTAGAAGGAGATCAACGACCTAATGCGTGAATAGGCGCCGTGGTATCCGGAGCATCACCGGCTTACAATGTCGAAGAGATGACGTATGCGCTTCGCACGGCCAATGCCAAATTCCTCGCGACACACCCAGCGTCCATTAGCGTTGCCACCCAGGCCGCAAGCAATGTCGGAATCCCTAAGAAAAACATATTTCTGCTCGAGGGCCACCTCGAAGGATATACCACAGTGAAGGAGCTCATCAGCAGAGGCAAAAGCTACATGGATTACAACCAAGTCCCTCACGCCAAGTTGCCGCCAGGCAAGACGAATAAAGATGTTTGCGCACTCCTCAGCTTCTCGTCCGGCACGACCGGATTACCCAAAGCCGTGAGTCTCGCGCAAATGTAGAAGAGGGGCCTATCTAATCACTCACTCGCAGGTTATGATTGCGCATTCAAATGTAATCGCACAGATACTGCAGGTCGCCCCCATCATACCAGCAGATCACAAGAAAAGCCTGAGTGTGTTGCCCATGTTCCACATCATGGGCCTCATCCATAATCTTCACATGCCCCTGATTCTCAACGCCGAGGTCATCATGCTACCTGCGTTTAGCATGGAGTCGATGCTCGCGACGATAGTCGAATACCAGATTAAAGACCTCTTTCTCGTACCACCTATCCTCCTTCGCCTGGTCCGCGATCCCATCGTCAAACGATACGACCTTAGCTGCGTGAAGCGTATCACAAGCGGCGCGGCACCAATGTCCGATGAGCTCGTTCAGCTTTTGAAAGAGAAGTTCCCGGGCAGCGGTTTCAAACAAGGTTACGGCATGACCGAGACCTCATCCTGCATCGCGACACACCCACCTTGGGCCTTGGACTACCGTTATGCCAAGACAGTCGGTACAATAATCGCGAGCACAGAAGTCAAGCTGCTGAAAGAAGATGGGACGGAGGCAGGCGTGGGTGAGCCGGGGGAGATCCTAGCAAGGGGCCCACAGATAGTTATGGGATACTTGAATAACGAGAAGGCGACGCGCGAAAGCTTCGATGCCGATGGCTTTCTGCGTACGGGCGACCAGGGGATAATTGACAGCGAGGGCTTCCTTACCATCACGGACCGGATCAAGGAACTAATCAAGGTCAAGGGTATTGGCATTGCCCCGGCAGAGCTGGAAGACCTCCTACTCGGCCATGCGGCAGTCGAAGACTGCGCTGTGCTGGGGATTCCAGACCACCGTGCGGGCGAACGGCCGAAGGCATATGTTGTGCTCAAACCAGGGTATAAAGCGGATGAGGCCACCGGGCTCGAAATCATCTCTTATGTCGAGAAGAATAAGGTACGAGATAAGTGGGTTAAGGAGGTCGAATTCGTGAAAGAGGTACCTAAGAGCACGAGCGGCAAGATCCTGAGGAATGATTTACGGAAGCGAGCCAAGAGTGGTGTGCGCGATGGCGTTGTGGTCACGGCGAAAGACTCCCAGGCGAAATTGTGATCCGGTGCGCATCATACCATCTACCCACGCGGAAAGGGGTGATATTCTTAGATTTTTTTTCATCTGGTCAGTGGTAAATAATCATGTTACCAATGTAGTTACTTAAACTTGATACTTCTATTATAACATGGGAAAGGCTTCTAGATCATTATCCGTATACGTACAAGATATTTCATCATATATATATATATTTAAATGAAATGATGTGTTCAAAGAGTAAATACGAATTCGGCAACCCTTCCTAAACTCCATCAACCGCATTATGATCTCAATCATCTCCAAGTTCAGGGCGAACATGATAGTCGTCAGCCGGACAGTTAAAAATTTTTTTTGTTTTGGCTTTTTTTTTTGGCCCATTTTGCAATTCCTTCAAACACTATAATGCAGGGCAGCTGGATTCTATCTACAACGGGTATTCTTGTGTGAACTCAGCAGGCTGGTATGTGAGTGTGACGACTCAATACTTGCCACGCCTGAGAATCACAGACCATCACATTTTTATTTCCGCGAAAGCTTCACGCGACCAACAGTGTACTACCATTCCGATATTGAGGCTGAATAACTTAGCAGAGTTTCAGGGGGTACATTTGGGTAATTCAACAACCTATGTAACCTAACAGTCTACACAAGATGATCAAAGATAGAAATGAAAAGTGAGAACTTTTGAAAATGAATAGATTTCACCTCGTCACGTTGGCGCAGGTTATGTAGTATCATGTATCATGACAAGAATGAGTGATCAGCGCCCCTTCATCACTGCCATATGAAAGCGATCTCAATTGTTTGCCGCTTGCAGAATACGGCGGTCATTCCCTGTCCATCATGTAGATACAAGTCCTGTGTAATCCGGAACTTACAGGGCGGAGGTACGATGAACAAGTTTCATCCCGCATCTCAACAGCGCATATAAAGCTCGCCCGATGCCGCCTCCTTCAGCGCGCTCATCTCGGTACAAATTGCATCCAAAAGCGTTTCAAACCGCGATCATGGTGCATAGTTCCGGAGAATGGCCAGTCAGCCTCCCTGACGGCAGAAGATTCAAGGATTTCAAGAAGCTGCCCACTGAACTGCAGCTTCAGGTCTGGGACGAAGCATTCAGACGACCACAGCCTCCTGCCGTTGCCAGTATCGCGGAGATATACCAACAACGCCAGCTTTACGCTCAATGGAAGTATTATGTCTGCCTAGTGCACGCACCATGGACGCATCGCATCACCGGTCAAGAGCTGGAAGGCATTCCATCGGCACGGGAAGCAGTGGAGACACGCCTAAGGCGCAATTATAGACGAGAAAGGTCCGGATCGAGCAGTCATAGAGCTGGTAGTTCGTCTCACTCTGGGCGGGCCGCCGATGACCCAGAACTGTTCGTTGACTACGCTTTCGAGCTTGATCCGAACGAACGACACAGGGGATCGTCGCGATCAAGTCATGTCTATGTGTCAGCTCCGGCTTCACAGCCGTTCATCATCTACGGATACCACGACATTTTCGCATATGGTAGGACATTTGGTTTTCCTTATCTAGAGCCGATGAATCCACCCGATCTCATCTTTCAGATGAGCTCCGTCGTCGTCCCGCTGAGGCAGGCGTACGAGTCGCTCAATTCAGCCAACCAGCTGTTTCATCTAACAAATCCATCATTAGATGCGGTCATGATAGAATTCTGGGGCCCGTTGGGTAAGAGCAGTCGCAGGGATGACCTTCGCTACTGCGTCCTGATCGACCGGTACAGACCGCAGGATGGGCCGCCCCAGAAGCCACTGGTTGAAGTCGACGCATACGCCACGGGCTTCGATCCCCAAACAATGATGAAGATGCAAGCCATGCATCAAATACTGGACGATTGGGATAACAGGTACGAACAACTCATGAGGGCTGGTCTCTGGAATAGGAACGTACGGCCGATGGAGAAGTGGAATCGGTGTTTCGTCCGTTTCGCGGACGCATAGTTCCCTCCCCTACGTGATGAGGTCCTGGCCCTCTTTCCAAAATATTGGTGACATACGAAGGCCTCGCTCGTACACGACGGGAGCAGGGTCGCAGGAAGAATGGTGGATTCGTTGAATCGTAGGCAATAGGAGTGGAGATTTCATTCGTTAGAATAGATCTTTGATAGGCACCTCGCGCATGCCCTGCTCGATGGGCTGAGCTATAAAGATGAGTATTTCATCCCATCTCCGTCATTCCCAAAGCGTCTTCCTGCCAGCACCGCTCGGTCTCTGCTTCATTGCAGAACGCGTGATTGCGCATATGGACGTCAGGTCTGCTTCATTGTGTTGCGCAAGTTCCGCCTGTTCATTTCACTCACCTACTGAAGCGAGACGTGTGAGTTGTAGGTAAAGGAGGGAAAACCCATGACATGACCTAAGCGACCAGGAGACTCAACACAGAAACGCTTCCAGGCCGGTAAGTTTTGGTAGCAAGTATTTCTTTATCTCATCAAACTGTGAAAAGAAAAAAAGTAGTCCGGGGGGGGGGGGGGAATGAAGGGAGAAATGAACAACTGCATGCAGATGCTTCAAATTCTTACCAGGGAAATATTTAACTCTTGTTAAGTAAGCCCCACGCACAAAATTGGTATGCAAAGCTCTCTCTCTCTCTCCCCCTCTCTCCCTCACATTTTTTTCTTCAATCACCAGACCCAGCGCAAAGAAGGAAGAAACCATGCATCAAATAAAAGGTATCAATCAATCAATTAGATAATTAAATAATTAATCAAAGCACTCCTGAACAAACCAAAAAAGAAAAAGATATTATCTCTCACAGAGAGTGAAAAAGAAGGTTCTGACAAGAGTGGGATTCGAACCCACGCGGGTTGCCCCAGTAGAATGTTGCCTGGTGTTCAGGTAAGGATTTTAACCACCCTTGAGTCTACCGCCTTAACCGCTCGGCCATCTTGCCTTGATGCTGTGATGTCTTCCACTCAATTCATCGCTATCCATATACCAGCCGCTTCATTCACATCATGACATTCCATCGTATCGTCGGTATTATTGTACTCAAAAGTGCGGTTGGCTGCGCGATTAACAATTTGAAGCGGTAACAACAATAACCGAATAACACACAAATAGCCCAGTAATTAATTGCTCTGGTTATCCATCACCCAAATCACCAGGGTGTCATCGAACAGAACATGCTGCAGCGCCGCACCATCGTCAACCGCACCATTTCGAATGACAGACAGACAGACAGACATCAGATCAATGCCAACAACTTCCGCTCAAACTCACTCACTGGAGCCTATTACCTAGGTGCTTGCTGCATATAAACGTCACGCCTCATTCATTCTCATAGCCCCAAGTAAGCGGCAATAAACGCAAAACATTCATAAATTCACAAAGCAGCGCGCGGCAGCAAGATAGCGATCAGAAGTTGAGCAAGCAGATAAGTTGGCGATCACGATCACGATCACGATCCCGATACTGATAGATAGCAGAAGCACGTGCGAATACCTACTGTAAATACTGACATCAGACTGTGCATGGGTACAAGTAGGTACATACCTACTACTACGACTGTCATTTTATTATAAGTTAAGAGGAATGGGGCCGCGGGAGCAGCCTGCCGCACCGTACAGGATCCGTAATGCACGAATCGATCCGTCGCGAGGGCTGCATTCCGAACTCCACACGATAGGTACCGAACTGCAGGTGTGGGCGGATTTGCCAAGCATGGCCTTATTGAATAAAGTGTGGACAGGCATTACATACTGAACAAGACAGAGAGAGGCACGAGGGACGGGCGCAAACGCGGGCGCAGATTATGTCGAATGTCAACGCCTCTCTGGGGTTCTCTTTAATTACGATAGCAGTCCATACAAGTCTAGGCGAATCCAGCCGTGTCCTCCCTTCCTCTTTGTTATTCTCTTAATCCTCCGCAGTTGTCTCTGCCTTTTTCTCGCAAAGCCAGCTGCGGGATAGACTAGTCCGATTGCCCCCTCGACGTCGCCCCCGAACAATGCACTTCCGGATCACTCCTTCCAGTCCGGGGGCCCAGGTCGCACGTGACGCCACCTTTTTTAACGAGGCCTACCCAGGTGAGCAATCCGGCTGGCAAGTATGGAGTGCTAATATCATGTCCTCTCACTCTTGAAAGACGATGGGAATCTCGCAGAAGGGATCAAATGTGCTCGAAATGTAACTTCTAGAATGACAAATGTATGCCGGTGAGATCCACAATCAAAAAAAAAAAAGAAGCGCGTGTGCCATGCTGCTGAGATGGTAGATATCCAGTATCCCTGGTCCTACAAGAGAAATCAATTTCGAGCCAAAAGCCCCAATATATTAGCGCGAAGGTAACCAGCCTTGTGACTCGGCAATAAACAGAGTCGAATTAAAATCACTGCACAGTTAGCGTGTCGGGCTTTCGATTATTCTTCCAGAAATCGATGGCGGCAACGACATCATGACCAGCTTCATCCTCATATGCAAATAAGATCTATCAAAGTTAGTATCCAAGTCGATCATTCACTGAAGTTTGGATTTTACCTCGTGTGTGCTACTATGCAGCATTCTAATGTTCTTATGGGGAACAATATGTATAGCACCGTTTTCAATATTCCTTAGCTCGATGAAATTTGGCTCAAACGCAAGAATCCAAGGATAAGAGAGCGCAAAAGCTTGCGGTGTTCCCTCCCAATCAATTCGCCATTCCGGCCTTGCCCTCCAGCCATTTCGGTTGACAAAGAAGGAGAAGTCCGTATAGTTCAGAAGGAACTCGCCGTTGAGCCGCTCGATATGGATTGGCTTGACACCTTCTTTCCTAGCAACAAAATCAAGTGATGTATCAGCCTGATCAAGTAGCGATTGCGTTTCCAGCGTCTCCAGCGAGACGACCTCGAAACCTCTAGCACACGCAACACAAAGCTTGCTCTTGAGGAAGTGAACGGATGACGATTCGGTCGGGATGTAGAACTCCTTGAACGCCTTAAGTTCATCTTGTCCAGCATTGAACATCTTGCCGAATCCCTTTTGCTTCTTGCCCTTGCTCATAGAGTCATTAGGTTCGTACACCTTGATCGTGGTCGAGAGCGCGCTCGATTTGACGCAACAAACCAAATGTCTTCCCAAGCAGATTCCTGTCTTGAAAAAGTTGCAATTGCTCTGTATCTTCTTCGGGCGTTTTCCTAAGGCTGGCTCGTTCGGATCTAGTGCGGCGAGGGGGTAAGATTGGAGTGATTTATTAGAGAGAACCAGCAAAAGGCCATATTCTTCCAGCACATCCACTTGAGTGACATGTTGTGCTTCAATGACGCGTCTAGGCTGAGTATCCTTGGCTTTCCGGTCTGAGACGTAGATGCCGTGATCAGTGCCGAATATCAGCTTGCGGCCACCATCTAAATCAACATTAGCGAATGAAGTTCAAGTTAAATCTCGTAATCCTTACCGCATGGTGTGACAGCATTTACGGTGTTGCCAACTTGGAAGAAGTCTTGGGACAGAGTGTTGACGTTGAAGAAACTAGCTCGTGCCCGAAGTCGTTGTTGAGCAGTATCGATGTACTCAAGCCACTTCTGTCTAGCGCTTTGGTTCGAAGCATAAACCACTTGCTCGTAATAATTCCTACCAAGATGACGGAAAGTTATGGGCCAACCCTCCGATGTCTTCTTGTCGGCGTTGCCTGTGCGGAAAGGCAGGTTTGACGATGTCCGTTTTACACCAGTTTGAGGGATAACTTCATCCATCTCTTTAATGGACAACAGCTCCAAGGGTATAGGCTACAGAGATTGGGCAGTTAGTCGTAAGCTCGAGAGAAGGGTGAATAGCGAGTGTGACATACCCTTCGATACGCCTTCACTTCCTCCGTCTTGCCTACTTGTTTGATCCTCACAAGTAAAACGGCGTGGTCGAATAAGAAGGCTGTTATATCAGTGGGGTCCGTCGCTGTCTTCTTAAATTGGGTTTTGAAAACCAGTTCGCGCCCATCTTCCGTTAGTTTCAAGTCAACACGGTCAGCGGGACGGAATTTGAGCTGTTCGTGTAGACGACGAAGGTTAAATCGATTCTCGGCTTTTCCAGACTCGGCATTGACCCGACTCAGAAGATCCCTGATCATTTGCAAGACTTTGGGAATATCTTCCTTATCTGGGTTTCCATCCTCAGTATACTTCAAAACGTTTTCCAGCAGCAGAGGGTAACGCGCAAGTCTGGTAGTAGGTTTCGTCAGATAACCGTTTAGTTCCAACTTTCTTGACTCCTTCCTCCTCTCAATCTCGTCAACAAATTTGGAGAAATACGCGTTGCTGGACCGTTCATTTTCAAATGCGAACTTGGCCTCCAATTGCTTCGAACCATACATAATGAAAGGCTCAAACTGAGGCACAATTTCCAGAAAAATATCACCGAGGTTTTTGACAATAGGATTCCTCTGTTGCCGCTCCGTCAACGCCCTAGCAAACCTAGAGCTTACTGCGTGAATGCTCGGATGATCAATAACATTGCTGAAGATATTTTGAACAACACGCTCTCTCTTCGGTGCTGGAATGGGCGACCCCTTTGATCGAAGAGGTAAGATCCAGAAGTCTCGGAGATACTCTAAATCTTTTACGAAATCTCTTTCAGTGTAGCATATTTCAGAGATGACTTCCTGTCGTTTCTTTTCCTTGTCGGTAACGCTCTCAGCAATCTCCTTGGGAACGGTATTAATCCATAACTTTTGTTCATCAGTCTGATCGGCATCATCATTGAGGATGGCATCCTGATCCTTCTTCAGACCGACTTGTGGCTTGAGGTTGAGACGAGCAACCTGTTCTAATCTTCGCGGACAAGCAATGGAGTAACACAACTGGTCTTTCGTACAGGTGGGCGAATAACATTCTGACAACAGAACAAATACACCGTTCACAGGAGGTTTATCTTCCGGCTCGTCCATTAGTGTTTCTCTAAACTGATACATCTCCGATCCGGAGTCCCGTAGTCTGTGTTCGTACGTGACATCGTGGAAGAATTTTTGTGCATCAAGCGCCCGACCTAATAATAGGGCCAAGTTCCTGTCCGTAGTCCTGATGATATATGACAGCACATCGACAGCTTCTGAACCGCTGAAAGCATTCTTATAGGTCAATTCGTTTTTCGTCCGTTCTCCAATCATTATCTTGCGGCGAAAACATTCAGCAACTCGAGACAGTAGTGCCGGGTAAACAATGGGTGATCGGATCTTTGCAGTTGGCGGTCGTTCACCATCCATCGACCTCGAATTGGATGTGCGATGAGAGAGCAGCTGCCTAGCTTGCTCAGAGGTATCAGGTGCGATTGTGCTAGCAATTGATAAAGTACGATTATGGTCGTGGATGGTGCCGACTGTACTGGAGGAAGCCATGCTCATTGTCCTTGTAGCACTGCCTGGAGTAGCGCCATACCCACCATAGCCATTTATCTGTATGTTCGCCTGGGGCGGCATCTCGTTTGAAGGGGCCCTCATCCTGTTTGGAATAATGCGGCCGCTCATTGTCTGATGCGCATCACGCTCAGGAGGGTAACCTGTCATGGACATAGACCTGTCATCATAGCGTTCGGGCACAACTCGACCCTGCGCCGTAGTTCGTGACATAGCGTTGGGAATCTGGTGAGATGCCTGCCGAAAGCCTTGCTGAGGTGGTTGATAGGGACTTGACGGTGTTTGATACATCGGCTGGCGTGGGGCAGATGCAAGAGATTGGGAGCGATAGGGGTCATCTCGAAGAGCCGGTCCTGGTGGAGGGCCATCCTGATAAAATCGGGGCGTAGGATTTCGGGGAGGATAGTTTGGTTGCGGCGGCGGAGGTCCTCTCGAATCGTACCGAGGCTGACCCTGAGGCGGTGGTCCAGGATAGGGCCTTTGGTTTGGAGCTGGTGCTTGCCGACCATATGCATCCGCTCGTATGGGCGGGGGGTATCCTCCCGAAGGATTCCTTTGATTTTGAT